TCCAAGGCAGGGCTTGGCCAGCACCGCATCGGTGCATCGGGTCGAACCGGACCGCCGCCTCGGATCGGGCGGCACCGGCACGGACTCGGCGCCGAATCGGATCGGCTGCGCAAGGAGGCACAGCAGCGCCATGCGCGCGTCGGGCCGCATCGGTTCGTCGGAACATCGGGGTCCTCATCGGATCGCGCCGGCCAGAGCCGAGCTCGCATCGGGCGGACCGGATCGAGATGGACTCTGAGCGGGGGCCTCTGCCAAGCCAGGGCGCCGACTTGCGGTCGGGAGCCTCTGTGGCGGCGTGTCGCGGCGGCGGCCCCGGCGACGCGCTGGGCCGTGCGAGCGGATGGCGTGCCGTTCCGCTCCGCGGGGCGGAAGGCTGGGAAGGGCTCGGAACGACGGTACTGGGACGTGGAGGAGGAGGAGGAGGAGGAGGAGGAGGAGGAGGAGGAGGAGGAGGAGGAGGAGGAGGAGGAGGAGGAGGGGGCATCTTGGGAGCCTCTGGGGGCACTCATGGGGCCTCCTTGGAGCTTCCCGGGAGCCTTTTGGAGGCATCTTGGGGGCCTCCTTGGGCCTCTTGGCTAGCGTCAGGTCGGGCATGTCCCCCATACAGGAGGGTTTGGGACGAAACATAAAACATACATAAATTACCCCAGTGCGACCCTACCTGGAAATTGGAGCCCCTAGGAAACCAGCATTGGTTGCTATGCTATGCTATGCTATGCCATGCTGTGCTGCGCTATGCTATGCTACGCTGCGCTATGCTATGCTATGCGATGCTATGCTAAACTCGGATATGTCATGTTGCGCTATGCTATGCTAAGCTATGCTATGCTATGCTATACTAAGCTGCGCTATGATATGCTATACTATGCTATGCCATGCTATGCTATGCTATGCTGCGCTATGCTATGCTATGCTATGCTATGCTGTGCTGTACTTGGCTATGTTCTGCTATGCTATGCTATGCTATGCTGCGCTGCGCTATGCTGTGCTGTGCTGTGCTGCGCTATGCTATGCTATGCTATGATACGCTGCGCTATGCTATGCTATGCTGGGCTATGCTGTGATTTGCTATGCTGCGCTATGCTATGCTACGCTATGCTATGCTATACTGTGCTCTGCTATGCTAAAGCTCAGGGAAGCTAAGACGAAGGTAAGCTAAGCTAAGATAAACCTGAGCTAAGATGAAGCTAAGCTAAGCTAAGATCAAATAAGCTGAGCTAAGATGAGACAAGCAACGCTAAGCCAAGGGGACGTAGCTGGGGGAACCGCGGGGCGGATACTGGGGGAACCGCCCGGGGCGGGCCCCACTGCCCGGCCCTTTAAGCTCACCGAGCAAGAACCCTTCTGGGCAGAGCCTGGGTAGGGAAAAAGAACAGCCAGAACATACCATGTGTGACCACTTGTTGGCCATCGCGTAGAGAAAAAAACAGTCCCCAGACTAATGTTTGCCATGTTTGAGTATTCCTCCTCCCTCCTCCCTCCTCCTCCTCCTCCTCCTCCTCCTCCTCCTCCTCCTCCTCCTCCTAATTTTTGCCATGTTGGAGCATTCCTGTGAGGAGACAGGCCCGACCCAAAGCCGGCGCGCCGCGCCCCGAGGCGTGGTGGGCCAGAGCCCGCAGCGCGACGCGCCACGCGGCGAGCCACAGCTCCTGCCCGCTGGGCCTTTTTCGACTCGAGTCTTAGGTCGGGCGTGGCCCCTTTCCAGGGGGATTTTCGACGAAAAATCAAAAAATACCCCCAACATACCCCAAAAAGGTCGAAAAATACCCCAAATAGGTCAAAAGATACCTCAAAAATGATAAACAAATCCGCCGACCCTGTCGGCGTGTGTGAGGGGCTTTTCCGTTCGAGCCGTCATCTCCGTTATTCTTTGTACTCGTCGTCTCTGTCCTGCGCCCCAGCCGCCCGAGCCGCGCCCGAGCCGCTCGAGCCAAGCCGACCTTGAGCAACGTCGTAATTCAGTCGAAGGGAAGCCCCTTCCCTTTGATCCCTCCCCCGCCGGGAGGGGGGGGGGTAGCGACCCCCCCCCGGGTCAGATACGACGCCCCCCCCCTCCGTACCGCCGACCTTGAGCAACCTCGTAATTGAGTCGAAGGGAAGCCCCTTCCCTTTGATCCCTCCCCCGCCGGGAGGGGGGGGGGGTAGCGACCCCCCCCCCCCCCCCGGGTCAGATACGACGCCCCCCCCCCCGTCAGCCGACCTTGAGCAACGTCGTAATTGAGTCGAAGGGAAGTCCCTTCCCTAAGTCCCTTCCCTTTCCCTTCCCCGACGGGAAGGGGAGGGGGGGTCCCGGGGGGGGTCCCAGGGGAGTCCCGGGGAAGTCCCGGGTCAGATACGACACCTCCCTCCCCCACCTTCTCGTCCTTTTCCCCGTTCCCCAAAACCATCCCACAGCCCGTGCCTCTTGCTGCGCATTGCGAACAGGGTCGGCGGCACCGGCCGTAAGGCCTTCGCAATCGTCAAAAAATAGTCTGGGGACGATGTTTGAATAATTTGTTATGACCTTTTGGTGTATTTTCTATGACCTTTTCGTCGAAAAAATCCGCCTGTATGGGGCACACGCCCGACGTAACTCAAAGTCGGGCCTGTCCCTCTGCAGCGGGGGCGCGCCTGCGCACGGAAACCATCCAGGAAAACGAAGGATTGCAAACAAAACCGAAGGATTGCAAAAAAACAAGGATTGCAAAAAAACGAAGGATTGCAAAAAAACAAAAAAAAAACAGGATTGCAATCCTTCGTTTTTTGCAATCCGTTGTTTTTTGCAATATTTCGTTTGGAATGCATCTCGGCGCGCGCCCCTTGTCGTCTCCAGGGAAAGAGCCACTGCGAACACTGGGTGCGGAAGGGGCCTCGTCCGGGGACCCTTGGTTTTTTCGCTCCGCGCGCTGCGTGGTGACTTCCCGCGGCCGTCGAAGCAGCCGCTGCGCTCGGGGGCATGTTTGGCGCATCTTGCATCCTTCGCCCCGACAGCCGCCTGTAGGGGGACATGCCCGACCGAACTCTAGACCTTCCCACCCCTCGAGGCTCGGGGCCTCGAGCGTTCCTTCGTGTTGCACCATCGGGGGGCCTCGTCGACTCCGTGTCGGACCCACGTCGGCCTCGTCGGATCTGCCCACCCCGTGTCGAGCCCGCCCGCGCCGGGCCCACGCCGGCTCCGCGCCGAGCCCGCAGCTGGCCCGCTCCGGGCACGAGGAAGGCCAGCCATGGGGGGGCCAGGCGAAGCCCCCCGAAAATGCAGCGTGAGTTTCTGTCGGCGCTCGGTGGCTTTCCAGCCTCGGAATGCCTTCCGGCGGCTTGCGCCTCGCCGGGAGCAGTCGGGGGGGGGCAAGGATCGCTCCGGACGGCCGCTGAAGGCTGGACCCCTCAAGCAATTGGCATTGCCACTGCTGTTTCGGGCGGCGGGGGCGCCTGCACAGGACGCAGGAATTCGAACTATCACAATCCCGAGTCTTCACCTGAAGTGTCAGCATTGCGCATCGCCGATGCCGGCGTCGGCTGAGGCAAAGCTCCCGACGGTATAGTCCTCTTCCCCCGAACGACGAGGAACGAGCCTCATGTATACGCAACTTGTACTTCCCCGCTGGCCACGCGGGCATCTCCAAAGCTCCCGACCGTGACCCTTGCGTGTGCGAGTGTGTGTGTGTGTGCTTGTGTGTGTGTGCTTGTGTGTGTGCGTGTGTGTGTGTGTGCGTGTGTGTGTGTGTGCTTGTGTGTGTGCGTGTGTGCACAAGCTCCGGTCCTACTCCGCCTCGACGCTGCGCGAGAGGCCGCGGCCGCCAAAAGTGTGCGTGTGTGGGTGCGTATCACCCATTGTTTCGCCTGCGCTGTCCACCATCCGCGTGCGCCATCGCGTGAAGCGTTTGCTGTCGCGGTCGCCCGCGGTCAGCTTTGCTTTCTTGTTTCTGCCTCGAGCGCGCGCGCGCTTCTTCGCGCTACTTTCACCTGCGCGACGTTCTGTCGTGTCTGTTGCTTGCCTGGCGGCGGCGCTTGTCGCGCTTGTGCCTGTCTCGCATCGCCACTTACTGGTTGGTCTGACAGCTCTGCCGTGCTTTCCTTTCAACTGGCGAATTAGCACCAGACTGCTGCTTGCGCTTCAACTCCTGGCGTCGAACTACGCTCTGCGGGATGCTTGGCCGCTGCACTTTGGCTTTGCAGTGCCTCTTTCAACAACCACCACCATCAATCTGCATGGCCGTGGTGGATGCTTTCATCACGGAGCGTTCGACTAAGTTCGTTCGCAATTGGCACCTCCATCTGCTGACCGCGCCTGAGGTTCCTCTGCGCCGCTGACAACAAGAAGATGTGTGTGCGTGTGTGGTTGTGTGTGTGCGTGTGCGTGTGCGTGTGCGTGTGCGTGTGCGTGTGCGTGTGCGTGTGCGTGTGCGTGTGCGTGTGGGTGTGGGTGTGGGTGTGGGTGTGGGTGTGGGTGTGGGTGTGGGTGTGGGTGTGGGTGTGGGTGTGCGTGCGTGTGCGTGCGTGTGCGTGCGTGTGCGTGCGTGCGCGCGTGTGCGCGTGTGCGCGTGTGCACGTGTGCGCGTCTGCGCGTGTGCGCGTGTGCGCGTGTGCGCGTGTGCGCGTGTGTGAGTGTGCGCGTGTAAGCGCGTGCGCGTGTGCGCGCGTGTGCGTGTGTGCGTGTGTGCGTGTGTGCGTGTGTGCGTGTGTGCGTGTGTGCGTGTGTGCACGTGTGCGTGTGTGCGTGTGTGCTTGGGTGCGTGTGTGCGTGTGCGTGTACGCGTGCGTGTCGCGTGCGCGTGCGCGTGCGCGTGCGCGTGCGCGCGTGCGCGTGTGCGCGTGTGCGCGTGCGTGTGCGTGTGCGTGTGCGTGCGTGTGGCGTGTGCGTGTGCGTGTGCGTGTGCGTGTGCGTGTGTGCGTGCGTGTGTGTGTGTGTGTGTGGTGGGGGGGGGGGGGGGGGCGGCCGCGCGCGCGCGCTCTTCCGCTTGGGACGTCCTCATACGTCCTCCACCTCGTAGCCGCGCGCCAGGCCGCGACCGCCAAAAAGTGTGTGTGCGTGTGTGTGTGTGCATGTGTGTGTGTGTGTGCGTGGGCGTGGGCGTGGGCGCGTGCGTGTGTGAGTGTGTGTGTGCGTGCGTGTGCATGTGTATGTGTGTGTTTGTGTGTGTGTGTGTGCGTGTGTGCTTGTGTGCCTGTGTGTGCGCGTGTGCGTGTGCGTGTGCGTGTGCGTGTTTGCGCGTGCTTGTCTGTGTGCGTGTTGTTTTAGATTAGTTTTCCTATATTTCTACCTCGCAAGGCGTGGCGCGCTCCCGAAACGACCCCAGAACCCCAATACGGTCCACGACGACCCCCAAGAAGCCGTTATACCCCCAAAGGTCGTCCCGAAACGTCCCAAGAGGCCTCCAAGAGCACTCCCAAGAAGGCCCCAAGAGGCAAAAATCATGGATTTCTGTTGCTTTGTGAATTTGTGGGTTCTCCTTTTTTCGGCTTCCCGACGTTCCAAGATGGCGCCCACATCGCCCCGCAACCATCCGAAAGGGCTTCCAGGCAGTCAAGAGAGCCCCCACACGGCACAACACGGGTCCAAAATGGCCCTCAGAGAGCCCCATGGCGGCCCAAGATGGCCCCAAGACGCCCTCCGAAGCATTCCAATACGTGACCCAGTCGTTCAGGGAAACCGCGGTTGGAAGCAGGGTGGCCCGAGGAGGCCCCCAGAGGCCCCCAAACTACGCCCAGGAGGCCTCTAGAAGGCCTTAAGAAAGCCTGAAACAACTTTTGTGGGGCCCCCAGAGGCTCTTCAAGGAGGAGCCTCCGCAAGAGAGAGCTGAGGGGGATGGGGGGAATGCGCAGGGCATGGCGAAAATGAGGAAAAAGAAGCATGGAGGAAGGATCGCGGATCACATTATTATTGCGGCGATGCCGGAAAAGGCAACAAGGAATTATCGCTAAATTGTCGGCTTGACCTTCCTGCTAGTCCGCCTGCGTACCAAGCTTGAAGGACCAAGGTGCACGCCGCGAAGCGCCACTGCAGTCTTGTGTATATATAATATGAATATTTACGAGACTTGAAGTTTGCTGCGCTTCGCTCGGAGGTCTTGGCACGATGCGCTGGCGTGCAGTGTGCGAGTGAAGTGCGACTATGCGGGCTGAAGCGTCGGCGATGGGCAGGGACGGGGATGGGAAGGTCACGGGCGCATGGGCGTCGGCCCATGGAGTGCGCGCGCGCCGTGCGCACGCGCCGAGTTGGCAAGGGGCGATGCACGCGACGGTCATCGGCGATAAGATTAGGCGGGGATGCAACGCCGAGGGCAGGGGAAGGGAGAGGGAGGCTTCGGATGAGGTGAAAACAACGAAAAGGGTGCTGGCAACGATGGTGGCCTCATACCTCTGCAGATTTGGGTTGGGAAGGTCACGGGCGGCGACGCCGCACAGTTTGGTGATGATGTTTTTTTCTCACTGAGTGTAGGGGCGATCCTGACGTGGTGCTCTGCAAAATCGGAGCGGCGACGAACGCCCCCTAGCCTGCTTGAACAAATCGGCGTCTAGCTCAGCGTCCCGGACTTCCCGAGAGGAAGCGTTCGCGCGCCTGGTGTACAAATCTGTATGGCTCGGTGGGCGGACCCTGCAGGGCACCTTACTTATTGGACATCTTCGCTGGCTTCTTGGTCACCGGGGCTGTCGGCGTCGCCGCTGCAGGGCGCCTGCGGGGCCCGCTGGGCTCTGCCGTGGGCGAAGGGAGCGCTGACGGCACGGTGTCCTGCGTGGGCGTGTTCGGCGCGCACGAGGCCCACGCGATGAACTGAGGGTACTTTTTGTGGAGTGCGTGCGTGCGTACGTGCGTGCGTGCGTGCCTGCGTACGTGCGTGCGTACGTGCGTGTGCGAGTGCGTGTTTGCGTGTGCGCGTGCGTGTGCGTGTGTTGCGTGCTTATGTTTGCGTGCGTGCGTGTTCAAGTTTGCGTGTGTGTGTGTGTGTGTGCTTGTGTGTGTGTGCGCGTGCGTGCGTGCGTGCGTGCGTGCGTGCGTGCGTGCGTGCGTGCGTGCGTGCGTGCGTGCGTGCGTGCGTGCGTGCGTGCGTGCGTGCGTGCGTGCGCGTGCCTGCGTGCGTGCGTGCCTGCGTGCCTGCGTGCGTGCGTGCGTGCGTGCGTGCGTGCGTGCGTGCGTGCGTGCGTGCGTGCGTGCGTGCGTGCGTGCGTGCGTGCGTGCGTGCGTGCGTGCGTGCGTGCGTGCGTGCGTGCGTGCGTGCGTGCGTGCGTGCGTGCGTGCGTGCGTGCGTGCGTGCGTGCGTGCGTGCGTGCGTGCGTGCGTGCGTGCGTGCGTGCGTGCGTGCGTGGGTGTGTGTGTGTGCGTGTGTGCGTGCGTGCGTGCGTGCGTGCGTGCGTGTGTGTGTGTGTGTGTGCGTCCTTCTGCAGCGTGCCCTCCGGCTCGCAGTGCGCGGCGCCCGCGCCGCTGCGGAGCCCGCCGCCGCAGGGGCGGCAGGAGCCCTCGCCGCTCCTGCGCCGCCCCGTGCCGCTCCTGCCTCCCGCCACCGCTGCTCCTCCTCCTCCAGAGGAGGGGGAGGAAGATGGTGATGGTGCTGGTAATGGTGATGGTGATACCGCCCGTAGTGATGGGTCGTGAGGATGAGGAGGTACGGGAGGAGGAGGAGGATGAGGAAGGGGAGGAGGAGGAGGATTCAAAACGGAGAAGGATGAGGAGGAGAAGGAGGAACACCCGTCCCGGTGATGATGATGACGACGATGACAGTGATGAGGATGAAGATGCTAATGCTGATGCTGATGCTGATGCCGATGTTGATGCTGATGATGCTGCTGCTGATGCTGCTGATGATGCTGATGATGCTGATGATGATGCTGCTGCTGATGATGATGGTAGTGGTGTTGGTGATGCTGATGATGGAAAGGAGGAGGAGGAGGAGGAGGAGGAGGAGGAGGAGGGAGGAGGAGGAGGGGGAGGAGGTCCAGGAGGAGGAGGAGGAGGAGGGAGGAGGAGGAGGAGGAGGGAGGAGGAGGAGGTCCAGGAGGAGGAGAGGAGGAGGAGGAGGGAGGAGGAGGAGGAGGAGGAGAGGAGGAGCGGAGGAGGAGGAGGAGGAGGAGGAGGAGCCTCAGCCTGTCGTCGATCCCCCGCCTCTCCCCCCCGCTCAGAGGAAGGGCCACCCACCCCTCCTTGGGGACACCACGAGGAAACACCCCTACTCGGCGGTGGACAAACCTCCCTCTAGTAGACCTCCCCTGAGTGAAAACGACCTGGGACCGAAACCGACGGACCTGGACCCGCAAAAAACGACGGCCGCGACGCCCTCTCGCGAACCGAAAACGGCCAATTCCCGAATCGACGCGTCCAGGAGGAGGTCCAGGAGGAGGAGGAGGAGGAGGAGGAGGAGGAGGAGGAGGTCCAGGAGGAGGAGGAGGAGGAGGAGGAGGAGGAGGAGGAGGAGGAGGAGGAGGAGGAGGGTAGGAAGTCCGTCCACCCCCGACACACCGCTGCTGCCCGCGCCGCTCCCGAGGGCGCGCCGCGGCCACACCTCCGGGGCGAACCCCGCCCGGGCGCCCGGGGCTCTCCGGGACGACCGGCGACAGGAGCATCGTTCCCCCCCCCGTGCGATCCGACGTTGCTGGGGGGCAAACAAACCTACCTCGCTTTTGACCACCCTCGCTTCCAAGGGATACCAAGCGATGCCAAACTACGGCCTGTACTGGTCAGGCCGCTTGGCGAGGAGGCGCGTGGTATGACTTGGTTTTGCCTGGAAGCGAAAGCGGGGTAGGTAATTCACGCTCTGAGTTGCGGCCCAAACGGCAACACCGACCAGCCATAACTGGGGGAGCTGTGGTCCGTACCCCCCCCCTGGGGGAACCCATCGCATCGACGATCTCTCGAGAGGGGTGTCGAAATCGATGGGTCCCCCAGGGGGGTAAGTAAGGGCCACAGCTCCCCCAGTTGTGGCTGGCCTGCAGCAGTCGCGGGAGTCGCGACCAGAGCTCCAGTCTTCGGGGGCAGCGCATGCGAGCCTCCCGCACCATCTCGTCGGCCCGTCCGAACCGACGCTGATCGGCGCTGGTCGACGCTAGTCGACACGAAATCGACGCTAATCAACGCTAGCCGACGCTCAATCGGCGGTATTCCATCGACTCCCAAACGCTAATCGACGCGGACCGACACCGACGGAAGGACTTAAGAGGGTAGACCAGGCTCCCATGACTCGCTACCCAACTAGCTACAGTCAACCCGTAGTAAGGATGCGCGATAAGGACGCAATGGCCTTGGAAGGCCACGTCGAAGCTTTGCGAGCGGGACGCGGCCAACGAAAGTGGCCAAGGATGAGCCGAGGAGGTAAGGATGCAAGGTTACCCTTGGGAAGATTGGCCATCCTTACTATGCGGGTTGACTGTAGACCCCATCCTTCTGCGACCTGTCTCGAGCCGGATCGGTCTGCGCCCGCTGCAGGCCGGAAATCCGGCGCAAAAACACCTAGTGCGAGACTTACGTCGGGCGTGTCCCCCTACAGGGGGATTTTGGACGAACAAAAATAAATGACATAAATTTTTCAAAAGATGCCCCCAAATACTCCAAAAAATAATGCCCTGACTATTTTTTTACTATTTTTGAATATTCCTCCTGTAGGGGAACAGGCCCGACTTCATGCGAGACACAGGCGCCGCTCGCCCTCGGACTGCACCTTTTCCACAGTCCCTCCCCAGAGATCCGACGTCGTGCCTTCTTCGACACGGGGTCCCCGTAAGTCTCGACCAATATTCCCCAGGACCGGCCCTTCATTAGGGGAACAAAAAATGGCATAAACATAAAACTCGGAGGTCCGCGCGGATTTCTGGGATTGGCGCTGGACCCCCCTCCCTGGCGCGCGGAGCGCGCCAGGGGCGGCGCCGGAGGCGCCGCCAGGGGGCCCCAGCGCCGATCTGAGAAATCCGCGCGGACCTCCGAGTTCTTATGTTTATGCCACTCTTTGTTCCCCTATTCATCCCGAGCCGTTCTCTGAGGGTCCAGGGGCCCAGCGAGGGCCTATGGAGGCCGAAAAACGGCGACAAAACCCTTCGTCTTGATTTTTTCGATGCGCTGGATCTCTGGGTTTACGTCGGGCCTGTCCCTCTACAGGAGGAACATTCGAAAAGAGTCAAACATAATATGGGGACTATTTTTTGAATATTTTGGGGCATCTTTTGCACATCTTTTTAATATTTTAAACTTTTCGTCCAAAATCCTCCCACAATTTTTCGTCCAAAATCCCTCAGATTTTTCCGATGCGCTGGATCTCTGCGTCCGCGCGGAGGGTGCCGCCGCGATGCGGCCGGTGCGGCCTCGACGACACGGCCGCCGCCGCGGCCGCGGCCGCGGCGCCGGGGCCGGGCGGCACGCGCCGCGCGGCAGGTGCGGAAGGTGCAGGCCGAGAGGTGCCGCCGCGAGGCGGCCGCGGTGGCACGACTTGTTCAGAGAAAGTCGGCCGCCATAGGTCTCGACCAGCTCCTCTCCTCCTCCTCCCCCTCCTCCTCCTCCTCCACCACCTCCTCCTCCTCCACCACCTCCTCCTTCTCCTCCTCCTCCACCACCTCCTCCTCCTCCACCACCTCCTCCTCCTCCTCCTCCTCCGTCCTCCGCCTCCTCCTCCTTCCTCCGCCTCCTCCTCCTCCGCCTCCTCTCCTCCCGCCTCCTCTCCCCTCCTCCTTTTCATTCTTCTCCCCCTCCACCTCCTCCCCCATCTCCTCCTCCTCCTCCTCCTCCTCCTCCTCCGCCTCCTCCTCCTCCTCCTCCTCCCCCGGTCTCGACCGGTTCCTCGCCTCCTCCCTCCTCCTCCTCCTCCTCCTCCTCCTCCTCCTCCTCCTCCTCCTCCTCCTTGGACCGAGGCAAGGATGCAAGGGTACCCTCGGGAAGATCACCCATCCTTCCTATCGATTTCGACTGTACCTTTTCCTCCTCTGATTTGACGCCCGAAATGGGTACGAAAGGAATGGGTACGGGGCCCAACAACACATGCTGTCCAAAAACGACAGCGGCCGCTGTTGGGCAGGCGGCATTCTTTTTGTCAAACGGACAACGCCCGCGGCGACGCCGACAGCGAGCCCTGCTCACAGTGAACCGTAAACTCTGTCGGTCTCTGTGCCCATTCTTTCCGTCCCTGTTTCGACCACCCCGATCGGCTACAGGCAAGAGTGGGCCTACACAATAGCATTGACCTCTGGCGCGCGGCGTAAAGGGGGGCCATGAGCTATGAACCTGGGGACGCGAGCCGGCGCGACCGCCTCGCGCCGTCGCGATCGAGAGGCCCCACTGGGCCCGAGGGAGGAGGAGGAGGAGGAGGAGGAGGAGGAGGAGGAGAAGGAGGAGGAGGAGGAGGAGGAGGAGGAGGAGGAGGAGGAGGAAAAGGGTCACTCTGGCGAAAGGCCACTCCCGCGTGCAGCAGACCCGACGCCGTGACTTGTTCGGCACGGGGCCCCCGGAAGTCGCGACGCCTTCCCCAGGACCGGCCCTTCGTCCCGAGCCGCTCCTTGACGGTCCCGGGGCCCGGCGAGGGCCTCTGGAGGCCGAAAACGGCGAAAAACCCTCCGTCCTGATCTGTTCGTTCGATGCGCTGGATCTCTGGGTTTAAGATGGGCCTGTCCCTCTACAGGGGGGGGTCATCCAAAACAGTCACAAAATAATAGTCTGGGGACTATGTTTTGAGTACTTTTGGGCATCTTTGGGATATTTTTGGAATATGTTATATTTCTCGCCCAAAATCCCCCTGTAGGGTGACTACCTACCAAACCACCCCAACCCAACCCGAAGACCCGAATTTCGGGTTGGGGGGGGTATGGGTTCCATACGTGTTATTTCGATGTTTCCTGACCCCCCCCACTAGAAATCGAGGATAAATCTGACCCTTCGGGTTGGGTTGGGGTGGTTTGGTGGGTGGTGATAGGGGGGACAGGCCCGACATGACTCTGGGCGCAGCAGGGCCGGCCCGACCCCCCGCGGGAGCCTCGCGGCCGTGCCCGGCGGGCAGGGCGCGCAGGCGGAGCCCGCGCCGTCCGACGTCGTGCCGGCCGGGCAGGGCCGGCAGAGGAGGCCGCCGTCGCCCTCGCCTGCGCGGCGGAGGTCGCCGTGTCGCCCTCCTCCTCCTCTTCCCCGCCTCCTGCGAACTTCCTCCGTGCGCCACCCTCCTCCACCTCCTGCTCCTGCTCCTGCTGCTCCTGCTGCTCCTCCTCCTCCTCCTCCTCCTCCTCCTCCTCCTCCTCCTCCTCCCCCTCCTCCTTTTGTTCCTCCTCCTCCTCCTCCTCCTCCTGCTCCTGCTCCTCTTCCTACCCCTGCTCCTGAAACCTTCCACAAGAAACCCAACCCTGAGACCCCAGGGCGTCCACTCCCAGACATGATCGCGTCGTCCTCGGCGCCTGGAGGCCCTCGCCGGGCCCCGGGACCACCCTGACTCCAGATCCGCCCTACTTTGGTTTTTTCACCAACTTAAAATTGCGTCGGATATCCACCTATAAGAAGCCGAAAAAGTAGGGCGGACATTTCTGCACCCAACATAAGTAGGGCGGAAATCCACAGAAGTAGGGCGGAAACAGCAGCAGAAAAGTAGGGCGGAGATTGGCACCAGCGGGCCTTGAAAAATAAGGCGGAAATTCCAAGCCCTACCTACGAATTTCCCCAAAGTAGGGCGGATCCGGAGTCAGGGAGGGTTGGGACTTCCGGGGACGCCGTCCTGAAAAAATCAGGACGTCGCATGTCTGGGTTGACTTTTGAAATGGGCACGTCACGCTTCCCATCGCAATACCATCGAAACCCAAGAAGCCCACGGCACCCTGGAGGTACGCAGGGTGTTTCTTGGTATGGGTCTCCACTGTATACGACCCCGCTGGCGTCGTCGGCGTCGTCGTCAGCGCCCTCGTCGTCGGCGCCCTTGTCGTCGTCGCCGTCGTCGGCGTCGTCGCCGTCGGCGGCGTCGTCGTCGGCGTCGTCGTCATCGTCGGCGTCGTCGTCGTCGCCGTTGTCGTCGTCGTCGTCGGCGTCGTCGGCGTCTTCGGCGTCGGCGTCCTCGTCGCCGTCGCCCTAGCCTACCTTCGTCGGCGCACGCAGAAATTTGTGACACCGCGTCGACCGTTCAACCTTGAATCGATCGCGGCCCCAATCGTTCAAGGTTGAACTCCTTCGGGTCCAGACTAGTTGCCGTGTCCCTCGGTGGCTCCGCGCCCCAGACTTCAACGTTGAACGCCTTCGCCGGCGTCGCCGGCGCGCCAACGCCGCACGAACCTACTGCAGGTCTCGACCCAATTCCCCGGGACCGATTTCTCGTCCCGAGTCGTTCTTTGACGCTCCCAAGGCCCAGCGAGGGCCCCCCAAGCCCCGAATCGGAGAAAGGCCCCCCAGAGGCCGAAAAGCCTCCCGGCGAAGTCGGCGGACGCTTTCACCGGCGTCGCCGGCGCGCCAACGCCGCAGGAACCTACCGTACCCCCACCGGCGTGGCGTGGCATGCAGGCCCCAGGTGGCCGATCTGTCCCGCCCCCCTCCTCCTCCTCCTCCTCCTCCTCCTCCTCCTCCTCCTCCTCCTCCTCTTCCTCCTCCCCCTTCCCCCGGATGAGGGTAATGACGGGCCGTTTGCCTTCGGGTTTTGCAGGCTGTGTATCCCCAGCGGGGGGGGAGGACATGGTGGGGGTCTATATACCCCCCAGCTTGGGGGACGCCCTCGCCCGCGTCGTCGTCGTCGCCCTCGTCCTCGGCGCCATCGTCCTCGTCGTCGTCGTCGCCCTCGCCCTTGCCCTCGTCGTCGCCATCGTCGTCGTCGCCGTCGTCGCCGTCGTCGGCGTCGTCGTCGCCGTCATCGTCGCCGTCGTCGTCGTCGTCAGCGTCGGTGTCGTCGTCCTCGTCGTCGGCGCCCTCGCCCTCGTCGACGCCGACGTCGTCGTCGTCGTCGGCGCCCTCGCCCTCGTCGACGTCGTCGTCGTCGGGGTTGGGGATGAAGGTCGGTTAAGCGACGCTGGTCGCCCGCGGCGGAGCCAGCGGGGCAGGGCTCGCATCCCCGGACGCCCGCGCCCTGGACGTGCGTCACGGAGACGTTGAGCAGCTTAATGCCGCTGACCTGCTGAGGGGGGGGGGCCTGCCTCCTCTTCCTCCTCCTCCTCCTCCTCCTCCTCCTCCTCCTGCTGCTGTTCCTCCCTGCTCCTCCTCCTCCTCCTCCTCCTCCTCCTCCTCCTCCTCCTCCTCCTCCTGAATCCGCAGCCCTGGCACGCACCTGGCCTCGAGGTGCGCGTCCACCAGGGCTAGGCCCGTCGCGGCCGAGTCCATGCGACAATAAGAACAAGGAAGGGGTGTGCCCATCCAGGAATTTGTTTCAGCACCCGCCGTGAAGGCGCCACTCCACCCGGGCGCCAGCGACAGAGCACGTCCCAAAAAGTAGCAGCGGCGAGGCAGAGGGAGAGGGAGAGGGAGCCGGGAGGAACCAGATGACGGAAGAGACGGGGCCGCGGCCGTGTGGTGTGCGCCACCAAACCACACCGTTAGGCGCCGCGCACCATCGCTGGAGGCAAGGAGCATAAGAGGAGAGGGGAATGAGGGAGAGAAGCGAAGGCAAAGGCACAGGAGCGGCTCTGGCAGCCAAAACGACTACGGAGGAACGAGCAGCCAAAACGCCTACGGAGGAGCGAGGAGAAGGAGGAAAAGGACGCGGCGGAGGAGGAGGAAAAGGGAAGGGGGAGGACAGCTGGAGCAGCAACCGGCGACGCATCAAGCCGATTCGGCGGCGTTCTGGGTCTGCTGCAGACCGGCAGCCCGCGGGCCAGCAGGCGGCCAGGGCGCCGCTACGTCACGGCCGCCGGGGCGGCTATCCGGGCTCAGGGCCCGCCTCCGACGACAGGGGGCTTGTAGGCAGAGAGCAATTGCTCAGCGACCGCCGCCTGTAGGACGGCGCTGAGCTCTTGCCGGAAGGCGACGGTATCAGCGAAGTCCCTGCCTCACCGTCGGACTGGTCCAAGTGGTCCAAGATCAGCTGCCTCGCGGCGGCACCACTTCCTCCTCCTCCTCCTCCTCCTCCTCCTCCTCCTCCCCTCCTCCCCCTCCTCCTCCTCCTCCTCCTCCTCCTCCTCCTCCTCCTCCTCCTCCTCCTCCTCCTCTCCTCCTCCTCCTCCTCCTCCTCCTCCTCCTCCTCCGCCTCCTCCTCCTCCTCCTCCTCCTCCTCCTCCTCCTCCTCCTCCTCCTCCTCCTCCTCCTCCTCCTCCTCCTCCTCCTCCTCCTCCCCCCCTCTTCTCCCCCCTTCCCCCTCCCCCCCTCCTCCTCCTGCCCCCTCCCCCTCCCCTCCCCCCGGGGAAAGAGGCGCCGCGCGGGGGGCCGACCGCCAGACCCGCGCCCGTGCCCTCCACGTCGGCCGCGTGCCGCCACACCCACGTCAGCCGCACCGCGCCCGCGCTCAGCGGCGCGCGCAGCGTGCGCCGCCCGCCCTCCTCTCGGGGCCAGGGAGGTTCGAGGCTTCGAGCTCTCGAGGCTCGAGGTCCGATGGCTCGAGGATTCGAGGCTTCGAGGCTCGAGGATTCGAGGCTCGAGGCTCGAGGGTTCGAGGTCCGATGGTTCGAGGATTCGAGGTTCGAGGGCTCGATGGGTTCGAGGTTCAAGGCTTCGGGGTTCGGATAGGAAGGCACCGACTATACACCAACACCGATCCTGGCCCAGGATCGCCCTGGGCCCAGGATCGGTGCATACGCCCTCCTGCCTTGCGCAAGAAGGCACATGCACCGATCCTGGGCCCAGGGTGATCCTGGGCCAGGATCGGTGTTGGTGTATAGTTGGTGCCCTCCGATCGGAGGTCTCGAGGCTCCGAGGCTCCGAGGCTTCGAGGCGGGGGCCCGGGAGGTCCGAGGCTCGACGCCGCCGGGTACCCTTTCCGTCGGCCCTCGGCGGCTTTCCCAGCCTCGGGCTGCCCTGCGCCTCGCCGGGAGCGCTCAAGGGGCGCCCCGCCCTGACTCCTGATCCGCCCTACTTTGGGCGATTTCGAAAGTAGGGCGGAAATTTCCGCCCTACTTTTGAGGCCCCTTTGAGCGTCGATTTCCGCCCTTGAGGCTCCTTTGGCGTCGATTTCCGACACAATTTTAGGTCGGAAAATCATCCAAAGTACGGCGGATCAGGAGCCAGGGTGCGCCTCGCCGGGAGCGCTCAAGGGGCGCCCCGAGCGCCCCGAACGGCCGCCAGCAGCCCGAAGGCACCCCGGCCGCCCCCAGGAGGCCCCCCGCGGCCGCCTCGCCCTCTGCGTGCCAGTCTCGCGCCCGCGCCCGTGCTCCGGGGGGACGCCCGACCGCCGCAGGGTCGCCCCCGCGGCCGCGGACTGCAACCACGCGCGGACCACGGGGGGACAGGAGACGAGCTTCAAGAAGTAGAACGCGACGACGACGACGACGACGACGACGACGACGACGGCGACGACGGCGACGACGGCGACGACGGCGACGACGGCGACGACGAAGAGGAAGAAGAGGGGGGCACGAAAGAAGACTAATCCGCCGGCCCCCTTGCGGGGCCATCAGGCTGCGTGGCGGAGGTGTCCTGCTCCCTGCGCCAATTCCGGTTTCAAGTTTCCAGTGTTGCAGTGCTGTTTTGGAGCCAGAAACCACCCTGATTACCACGCCCGAGTCGTGTGCTCTGAATTTCTGGGGGGCGTGATATATGCACAAATACTTGATATTCGCGCTCCCGACACAATAATCCATAGTAAATTACGCTGTGTTCGCGCCCCCGAGGCCACGATCCCTTGCAAAATACGCCACGCTCGCGTCTCCGAAGCCACGATCCCGCGTAAAATAACCATATGCGCACCCCCGAGGCCAGATTCATTCGTAAATTACGCCGCGCTCTCGCCTCTGGGGCAATGATCCCCCAGAAGCTACGCCACAGTCGCGCCTCCGAGGCTACGATCCCTTTGTAAATTACGCCACGTTCGCGCCCCCGAGGCCACGATCTCCAATAAATTACACCACATTCGCGCCCCCGAGGCCACGGCCCCGTGAAAATTATGACCGGAGTGCAGTATCCCCAAGCAGGGTTTTTAGACCCACTGCGGTTTCCAAGGTCGATTGCGTGCCCGTCCAGTGCGGGCTGGCATGGCATGTTAAACATGCCTCCTCCTCCTCCTCCTCCTCCTCCTCCTCCTCCTCCTCCTCCACATCCCGAACGGCATCTCGGAGCCCAGAGTTGCGAGGATGTCTCCAGCGTGACGGGCTGGACCGCCTGGCGCGCGGCATTTCGGACCCCAGAGTTGCGACGATGTCTCGGGCGAAACGTGCTGCGAGGAAGTCTCAGGCGAAACGGGCCGAACCACCTCGAGCGCGGCGTCTCAGAGCTCCGAGTTGCGGGGGCCTCCTGGGGCCTCCTGGGACCTCCGGCTTCCTCCTCCTGGGCCTCCTGTGGCCTCCTGGACCCCACCTGGGGCATTCTGAAGCCTCTTGGGGCTCCCAGGGGGGGATATCTAACATGTGGCCGTCGGGCCCCCCCCAAATGGGGGGGCCACAAGAGCAAGCAAAATCAACGAATCGACACCGGATGTGTATTAACTTGACACGTTCTGATAGGGGGCCTCCTGGGGCCTCCTGGGAGCCTCCTGCGAACCCCTGGGGCCTGTCCTGGGGCCTCCTGAGACCTCCTGGTGACTTCCTGGGGCTTCCTCCTGGGCCTCCTGTGGCCTCCTGGACCCCGCCTGGGGCATCCTGAAGCCTCTTGGGGCTCCCAGGGGGGATATCTAACATATGGCCGTCGGGGCCCCCCAAAATGGGGGGGGGCCACAAGAGTAAGCAGAATCAACGAATCGACACCGGATGTGTATTAACTTGACACGTTCTGATAGGGGCCTCCTGGGGCCTCCTGGGAGCCTCCTGGGAATCTCCTGCGGACCCCTGGGGCCTGTCCTGGACGTCCTGCGGCCTCCTGTGGGGCGTCCTGGGGCTCCCAGGGGGGATATGTAACATGTGGTCGTCTGGGCCCCCAGGCTGGACCACCTCTTGCGCAGCATCTGAGAGCTCAGAGTTGCGAGAATGTCTTGTGCGAAACGGGCCGGACCACCTTGCGCACGGCATCTCAGAGCTCAGAGTTGCGAGGATGTCTCAGGCGAGATGGGCCGGACCACCTCGCGCAGGGCATCTCGGAGCCCAGAGTTGCGAGGATGTCTCAGGCGTAACGGGCTGGACCACCTCGCGCGCGGCATCTCGGACCCCAGAATTGCGACGATGTCTCGGGAGAAACGTGCTGCGAGGAAGTCTCAGGCGAAACGGGCCGGACCACCTCGAGCGCGGCGTCTCAGAGCTCCGAGTTGCGGGGGCCTCCTGGGGCCTCCTGGGACCTCCTGGTGACTTCCTAGGGCTTCTTCCTCCTGGGCCTCCTGTGGCCTCCTGGACCCCACCTGGGGCATTCTGAAGCCTCTTGGGGCTCCCAGGGGGGGATATCTAACATGTGGCCGTCGGGCCCCCCCAAAATAGGGGGGGGGGCCACAAGAGCAGGAAAAATCAACGAATCGACACCGGATGTGTATTAACTTGACACTTTCTGATAGGGGGCCTCCTGGGACCTCCTGCCTCCTGGGAATCTCCTGCGGACCCCTGGGGCATGTCCTGGGCGTCCTGCGGCCTCCTGAAGCTCTCTGGCGCCTCCTGGGGCTCCCAGGGTCCCAGGGGGGATATGTAACATGTGGTCTTCTGGGCCCCCAGGCTGGACCACCTCTTGCGCAGCATCTGAGAGCTCAGAGTTGCGAGAATGTCTTGTGCGAAACGGGCCGGACCACCTTGCGCACGGCATCTCAGAGCTCAGAGTTGCGAGGATGTCTCAGGCGAGATGGGCCGGACCACCTCGCGCAGGGCATCTCGGAGCCCAGAGTTGCGAGGATGTCTCAGGCGTAACGGGCTGGACCACCTCGCGCGCGGCATCTCGGACCCCAGAGTTGCGACGATGTCTCGGGCGAAACGTGCTGCGAGGAAGTTTCAGGCGAAACGGGCCGAACCGCCTCGAGCGCGGCGTCTCAGAGCTCCGAGTTGCGGTGGCCTCCTGGGGCCTCCTGGGACCTCCTGGTGACTTCCTGAGGCTTCTTCCTCCTGGGCCTCCTGTGGCCTCCTGGACCCCACCTGGGGCTTCCTGAAGCCTCTTGGGGCTCCCAAGGGGGGATATCTAACATGTGGCCGTCGGGGCTCCCCAAAATGGGGGGGGGGGGGCACAAGAGCAGGAACAATCAACGAATCGACACCGGATGTGTATTAACTTGACACGTTCTGATAGGGGGCCTCCTAGGAGCCTCCTGCGAACCCCTGGGCCCTGTCCTGTGCGTCCTGCGGCTTCGTGAAGCTCTCTGGGGCCTCCTGGGGCTCCCAGGGTCCCAGGGGGGATATGTAACATGTGGTCTTCTGGGCCCCCAGGCTGGACCACCTCTTGCGCGGCATCTGGGAGCTCAGAATTGCAAGAATGTCTTGTGCGAAACGGGCCGGACCAACTTGCGCACGGCATCTCAGAGCTCAGAGTTGCGAGGACGTCTCAGGCGAAACGGGCGGGTGTCTCGGGCGAAACGTGCTGCGAGGAAGTCTCAGGCGAAACGAGCTGGACCACCTCGAGCGCGGCGTCTCAGAGCTCCGAGTTGCGGGGGCCTCCTGGTGCCTCCTGGGGCCTCCTGGTGACTTCCTGGGGCTTCCTCCTGGGCCTCCTGTGGCCTCCTGGACTCCACCTGGGGCTTCCTGAAGCCTCTTGGGGCTCCCAGGGGGGATACCTAACCTGTGGCCGCTTGGGCTCCTCAAAATGGCAGGGGGGGGGGGCACAAGAGCAGGAAAAATCAACGAATCGACACCGGATGTGTATTAACTTGACACGTTCTGATAGGGGGCCTCCTGGGGCCTCCTGGGAGCCTCCTGGGAATCTCCTGGGGACCCCTGGGGCCTGTCCTGGGCGTCCTGCGGCCTCCTGGAGCTCTCTGGGGCCTCCTGGGGCTCGCAGGGTCACAGGGGGGATATGTAACATGTGGTCTTCTGGGCCCCCAGGCTGGACCACCTCTTGCGCGGCATGTGGGAGCTCAGAGTTGCGAGAATGTCTTGTGCGAAACAAGCCGAACCACCTTTCGCACGGCATCTCAGAGCTCAGAGATGCGAGGATGTCTCAGGCGAGACAGGCCGGACCACCTCGCGCAGGGCATCTCAGAGCTCAGAAGTTCGAGGATGTCTCAGGCGAAACGAGCCGGACCACCTCTCGCGCGGCATCTCCGAGGTCAGAGTTTTGGGGATGTCTCAGGCGAAAGGCCGGATCACCTCGCGCAAGGCATCGCAGAGCTCAGAGTTTCGAGGATGTCTGAGGCGAAACGGGCCGGACCACCTCTCGCACGGCACCTCGGGGCTCAGAGTTTCGAGGATGTCTCAAGCGAAACGGCCCGGACCACCTCTCGCGCGGCGTCCCGGAGCGCAGCTTTTCGAGGATGTCTCAGGCGAAACGG